AAAGTTCTTCTCTTGGCTGCAAGATATTTGGGCTGTCCAGTAAGCTGAGGAAGCAGCACAACACTTGCTGCTGCTTTAAAACTTAGTGACAATGCTTAATGCCCTGAAACAAAGACAGGTTGGTCACATCAGCAGCCGCCTGCTCCGCACGGAGCAACAGGAACCACAGTGGGAATTTGCAGCATTTAAGAGTGATCTGAGGTGACACGCCCAGTCCTCAGAACATGCAGTGAAATCCTGCACGTTCACAACACCTACTGTGCTGCGGGGGAGAAAACAACTGCTGTTCTCAGCGGCACGGTCAGAGACCAGCTGAAAAGCCAACGCTGGTGAACAGCTTTAGGAGTTCCCCAGCAGCAAACAACAGATGAACCTCGAGCTCTAGACCAGGTCCAGAGCCACTCACCTTGAGAACTGCCGGAGTTTGGACTCTATACTTCTGTGCCTCATACACATCCTGGTGAGAGCAGACCCAATCTCTCGGGTACCACCTGAAAAACAAAACACGAGGCCCGTGATGAGATTCCTGCCCATGGCGCAGGGGCGTATCAGTGAGAAGGCAGGTGCCAAAACAACCGTGAAACAGATCCACAGTAACTGTAGAATTGACCAGGCAGACCTCAGGGCTATCTACCACCTTGGGAAGGGATTAATTCTTCTTCATCCAGAGACCAGAACTGGACAATTAAACGCAAATAGAACACAGTTCTTTGCAGCAGCTTTATGTGCCATGAGGCCCAACTCCATGGCATGGTCTTTATCCGTTGGCAGAAGAGTTAAAAGAAAAGGGCTTGAGATGCCAAAAGACACGAAGCAAAGCTGGCAAGCGAGTGGGCGTCTACGGACAGTTTATTTCCATATTTTGGAAATAAACCCAGGAGAGTCGATCCAATTTTCCCATCTCTAGATTCTTTAGACCAAATCCTTCAAAAGGCTTTTGCTTCTCCAGAATATGTAACTAATCCTACATATTGCCTCATACATCACTGACACACACCACCAGTGTACCTACAGGTACCTGCCGTCCCAGACCACGCATCTATTTTCCATTACAAAGCCAGAAGGTGGCACTATTTGCTCTGTGCCCTCGCTCAGCTGCTGACAACTGCATGACAGCAAGAATGATCTCTTGCAAGTGTTCCTCCTCTGAAGTTTTCCCTCCTGAAAGCACACATTCCTCCATTTCCCACTTTAATCAGCATTACCAACTTTGATTGGCCTATTAAATTTCGACATAATTTTGTTTTGGTTAGTGTTAGTTTTGAAAATTGCTTAGTTCCTATTTGCAAGCCAAATCTACTATTCTCAGGGTACAAACATCAACCTTTGTACGAAGCTTTTCCTAACTGTAGTATTCTCTGGAATGGTGAAGTCTCATTTGATTATTAAAACAACCTTAGACTTGTAATGTACATTGAAATATCTTCCTGAGGCTTTAAAAATGGTATTGCACAAGCAAAAAATATTTTCCTAGTAAAGAAACTTGAAAATTTTAATAATTTTATTAATTTTTTAGGCACGTAAACAAGTCACCATCTTCCTGCATTCTTGCAGAATTAAATCCTGTGCCCACGAAATGGCTCTGGAACAAAGACACTAAATAAATGGAACAAATTTTGGCTATTTGGTATTTTCCATTGTTCCAAAAGATAAACAGATAAGTCCTTTGTCACTTGTCCAATTACTCATGTTTTTATAAGGAGCTTTTGAAATAATATTATTTGGTAACACTGAAGAGCTGCAGCCTCGCTGCGTAAGGGTGGCTGGGAAAAGCATATGGACTCCAGCCTGGATCCGGACCCATCTCTTCCGGCGATGCTGCGCTTGCACAAGCTGTGACAGACTCTGGTAACTTGAAAACCAGTACAGAAGATGCAGAAAGGCGATAACAGAGAGTAAGCAACTGCAGGAAGGGGACAATGTCCACAATAAAAAGTGGATCTCTGTCCCAAAATATGGGCATTTTTCTCTGGAGCCATTGCCAAATAAGAGTAACTCAGAGCCTAATGTGGCACAACTCCCAACGGCAGAGATGGAGAAATGAACCAAAAACTTCCACGGCCATCAGCACAGCAATTCCCAATTGAGTTTAAACAAAAGGCAGGTTTTTCAGGTTGAAAACTCACTGAAATGCTGGAATATTAAGGACTGCTAATGGTTAAGTGACACTGCTTTCCCAAGCCCATTATATGAAAAAAGGAATAGTCGTTTCAGAACAACAAATAGCAAATAAGGCACCATGTGTTTTGGAGAGCAGGAAACAAGGGTCTGTGGCTATTAATATTAAATTTTATGTTAACAAAATTTTAGCTGAAACCCCAATAGCCAAACTATAAATATATCCCCTTAACACATAGTACGGATGGATGGGCAAGGTCAGCAAAACATCTACACATTTACATGTCTATACACTGGTAGTTGTGCTTGTTTAAAAAAAAACACATAACAAAATAAACAAAGCCTGGAATAAAAAAGGTTCTTCTATGGGAGAAAAAAACCATACCAAACTGGTTGGAGATGAGGTGGTTATTGGTTCTTCCCACCTTTTGAAACCTCATGTTATCCATAAATGTTTGCAAGAGCCTGGAAATATGAGGTGTTAATTGTATTCTGTGAATAAAGACTACTCTTAACACAGCAAAGGAAAATGGAAAAAAAAAACAGTTTTGAGAAGTTTTTAATACCCCTTCTGGAAACAAGGTGTCACAGAAGATGGGTTTAGGGGCCTGCTCAGGAAGGGGAACGAGGGGTACGGCTGGAAAGTTTGGGAGGGCTGAGCCAGCACCTCAGCTCAGTCAGCGTGGGCCCGGGGAGAGCTGTGGGGTGTGGGTCGGGGCTGGGAGGCTGCCTTTCAGCGTCCTGCGCTGAGGTGCGCAGGGAGTCAGACAGTGCTGGCCAGGGTCAGGGAGGGGATCTGAACGCCCAAAGCAGCAGCTCTTTCAAACCATTCATCAAGAAAGGTGCTGCTCAGCCCTCCTCCCTCAAGAGCGTAAATCCCTCCCAAACAACGCCTAAATTATAAACTCAACCTGCTTGAAACCGAAGCCCTGGGGAAGACGATCGCTCCGAACGGCTACAGACAGGGTTGCACCGCACGGAGCGGGGCAGGCGGCAGGCGGCAGCTGCAGAGGTGCTGTGTGACAGCAGCTTCTGCCCCAGCGGAGGGGCACCGGTCTCCATCCGACACCTGCTGCTACACTGAAGTCACTGTGCCTTTCCAAGTCCCGTTTAAAAGCTAATGTTACTGGTGTCTAATTAAGTGTAGGAGAGAGAACCTTTACAAGAGACAAGGGGTTTTTTAATTTTGGCTCTTGCTCGATTAGCAGAGGCAGGAACCGTGTCCAAGCGTCCCTACACTCCTACTCAGGTGAGACAGCCCATGGAGGTACGGATACACCCCCTGCAGAGTTTCTGGATGCCAAAACAGCGGCAGCAGCATTTCAGAAAGAATCACCTCCTCGGATCCGCCTATACAATTTGCATTTCGGGGCCGCCTCAGAAATCCCTTGTTAAAATCAGCCAGCAGACTGAAGGAAGGACAGTACCAGCCCATCTCCTCCCACACTTGAATCTCACCGCTCCTTCTCAACGTATTAAGTATTCCAAGGGCACTGGAGTTAAACAGAGCTTTACCTCCCTGTTTCCAACTATATTATCCGTGAAGAATCAAAATGCTTCCTGAGAAAGCAAAAAAAGAATTAAATACAGGCCTCTCACCACCCCTTAATTTATTGAGTTGGAACTACCGCTGCATTCAGCAGTCCTTCCAGAACATGTGCGGTGCGAGGGGTTTATCTCAGCTGCCAGCAGGTTTCTGTGAAGGCTGGTTCCCACCAGCAGAACTGCACTGATGTTCCTGTTTCTGAAGGGCTGGGATCAGCTGGCAGAAAGGAACCATTTTGTACCACTGCAGTCGTTTGAAAATGTCCAAACATAACAAGGGACAGTAGCTTGGATTTGCTGCTTTCACCCAATCTCAGCCAGACAGCCTTAGTGAACAAGGGTAACGTAAGATTTATATAAATGATCGTTCAATGTTACAGTAGTAGTCGACGCACAGAAGGAGCGGGCGGCCAGTGTGCATACTCTGCCGAGGTGGGACCCTACAAGCGACGTCGGTGCGTTCGCAGGTCCTGCTGTTGGCTACGCAGCTGAATATTCAAAATCTGGCACGAAGTTTATTGCACTGGGCTATGCCACAGCCACACAAAACTGGCTTCAGCCTCCAAACCAATTTATGGTTTGTCTTTTCAAAAAGACCAGCTCCATAAGCAATCAACTGCCTGCTTACTCAAGGACAGAGCCAGGAGCCAGGCGGGCAGAAGACCAAGTGGCGATAATTCCTTTTTCAGTGCTCTCAACCCACAGAGACGTGGTGGCAAAAAGAGCATCTGAAACAGAAGTGCATCAGGAGTATTCCAAAAGGACTGCCTGTCTCCACTTCACTTACAAGCAGGTCCCTGGCAAAAAGTCATGACATTCTCCAGTAGCTGTAATTTCCTGAAGAGAAATACTGAGGCCACATGAGCAAACTTTTCATCAAAGCAAGAGTTATGTTGGGTGGGTGACCTGGACTCCATTCACTGCTATGCAGCTATGCAAGTTCAACTACTGTGCCTTCGGCTCGCAGTTTATGAAACGAGGCTGTGAATTATCTGCTTCTCTGGCATACTACAATAACCCATCCATTAAGGCAAACAATGCTTGGGAATGGTGTAAAGTAATCCTTCGAAACCGGAGACGAGAGCTGCATTCATCAGAATTCCCACTCACAGAAAGTGGCTTAACAAAATGCTCCTGTCAAATTTGATTAGAAAGTGGGTGATAACATCAGCCTTATTTCTCATAAGTAAAAGGCAACTCTGCCAGGCAAAACCTGCTTTTGCTCTCACCTTCCCTGCTTCTCCCTATTCCTGCCTAAGCCTGTAAAAGACCAAAACCCTTTTCATGTAAGATAATAAAACGAAAGCCTGTGGACCATGACACTACAATGAGTCCACTATAAAGGCATAAATGATTTTCTTTTGATGCTTGCTTGTCATTCAACACTGCAGAGAGACATCAGGGAAAGACTGTCGGAAAGAGACTCAATTGTTTTATTGGAGTCATGATGTTTGTACTTAATAATGATCCTATCCCAAGGAAATTATTATTTGATGAAATGTGCAGCTGTACAACTGCATGGCCTCTGTATATTCCAAACAACCCGCTACAATCAACCTCTTATCGTCCTCCTCTCGCTTCACTGTTGAGCAACCCCAGAAAGCTCAGAAGATTACTGCCTTTCAGGAAGTGCCTTTAAGGCTCCAACTTATTAACAAGCTCATCTTTATCTTCAAGGGCAGAATCCAAATGTGCCAGTTACTTCCCTTTCTCCCAAAAGGGAGAAAATGCTGAAAAATGGGTGTAATACTTTTGTAATTTCTGTAATTTCAAGTTCTCAGAAGAGGCTTCCATTTTCAAGCAAAGATTAAAGCAGGAGTGGAACAGA